TGAAATTTGCGCAAGCCGAGAAAAAAAGGTTTATGCATATATATTTTTTTTTTTTTTTCAGTTAACATCTGCAAGCATAAACGACAATGAATTTCTCGGTTTAAATTCATCCAGGTCAGAGCAACTGCCCAAAGTCCTGTTGGATCTGACGGTTACTGCCAGCGTGGCCAGCAGTAAGTGAGCTCCAGAGGAGTTTAATGTCCTCGGGTGGGGGTTTTTTCGCTCTTTCCTCTGTCATTCAGAGACAGTTTGTTGTAAAAAGTTTCAGTGCAGTTCACCTCTGGCGAAAGGCGATTGTGTTTTTCTTTTTTTTTTTTTTAATATAGATTTTTTAATTATTTTTAAAAAGATGATAATAGGTAACTCAGTTGCTCTGAATTTCACTTATAATTATAACCTATTTAAATCACAGCAGAACTCCCGCTGGTGCGGCGTTCGTAGTTGCATACAATACAGGAGATCACAGTTTTGAAGTCTAGCACAGATTAAAAACCACAGATGTACCATTTATATAAGACACACACTGATTGTCTCTTAAAAACTACATATCGACTCCTTATGAACATTATCTTTTTTTTTTTTGTTTAATCTTTAAATAAAGTAGTGCAGCTAGGACAATCAGTCACACAACCCACACGGCCCTGAACCAAGTTCTCCGGGTGCCAACTTGAGCAAGTCGGGCATGAAACCGTTGGATGAGCTCGAGAGCGAAAGAAAGAGGGGGGGAGAAAAAGAGGGAGAAAAAGAGAGATGCTGTCCATTCCGAATATTTTAACCGAGGGTTGGCTAACACATTGGAAACCTCTGGGTGAAGGATCTTTCCACGCACACACAAAAAAAGAAAGAAAAACCTAGACTTTTTTTTTTTACTTTTTTTTTTTTCTTTTTTTTTTTTTTTTAAACTGGCCTGTAGGTGGGACGAGCTCCCACCCCTTCCAAACAAAGGAACCCAACAATTGCCTAAAACTAGAAAGAACACAGATGGGTCTGTCTGTTTTCTGCTCGCTAGATGATCTGTCCGTTTAAGGCCTTCCTCCTCCGTTTTTTTCCTCTTTATTATTCCTTTTCCAGAGCGTCTGAGCAGGAGATGAGTCTGAACGGGATCACACCAACACCGTCCCCCTCTTGTTGCTGTCGGGTTTTTTTTTTGTTCGTTTGTTTGTCCGTTGAGTTAATTTTTCTCTTTAATTTAACCAAGACCTGACTAAAGCCGGGAGCGTTCAGCCCAGCCTGTTCGTTCTCGTCGCCATTTCTCTCGTTATCACCAAGGTTCTTCACAAAACCTGGAACTTCCATGACGACGTCTGGTCCTTATAATCCAAGCAGTCAGCATTGAAGTTTAACTTCCAGGAGGCGGTTTGGTCTTTATAATCCAAGCAATCGGTGGTGGAGTTAAAGCCCAAACTGGTGGCTCCGTAGCCCTGGGTGGAGAGGGAGGCTGGAGACTGGCTGGGGTGGCTGGTGACCGCGTTGGCACCCATGGGACTCAGGGTGGCCCCCGGTCCGGGAAGCTGATGGTGCATAGGGGTCAAGTAAGATCCACAGTCCATCCCTCCGAAATAAGAGGTCGAGCCAGCGTATCCTTGGCTGTAGCCCGATGCCTGGGTGTAGGTCATGGGGTAGGATCTCTGCATGCAGGAGGAAGAGGTGGACAGGGGGTCTGAGAGCGGGGAGATGGACGCTGGGCTCCAAATGGACACGGGCGCGCTGCTGCTGGAAATGGTGGGGAAGGAGGTGCTGGAGGGGGGGGTGAACTGCCCGCTGGTCCCGCTCTCCGAACTCACTTCCCGGGCCGGCGAATTCTTCTTTTTAGCTGGCCGTACCTTGTTCTGGCCCCCGTTCTGCTGCTGCTGCTGCTGCTGCCGGCACTTGGCCCGGCGGTTTTTAAACCACACCTGGAGACGAAGAGACAGGAAGAGAAAAAGCCTGGGTTTAGGGATGCGCAGGCAAACCCAAGGCGGCAAAGGGAGGGTGGTGGGGAACCCTGGCTGGGGGGGTGGTGGTTCTGAAAGCTCTCCCCGGCGAGCGGAGGGTTGCAGGCTGCTGCAAAGCAAAGCTCCGGGGCTCCCCCTCCCTGAGATCATTAGCAGTAATAACAAGTGGAAATGGGCAAATCAAACTGCTTAATAAGGTCACTTTGGGGGGGAAAGGGGGGAAGTGCCCCCTATTTGCTGTTTGCCTGCCAGGGACCCCCAGGAATCACCATTTAAGGCCTATTGAAGTCAAATTCTTAATCAGAAACAATAGAGCATCAGAAAGGAAGGGAACAATTAGGGAAACAGAGGCAGTAGTTGGGGGGGCGGGGGGAGTAAAGATGTCTCATTTTCCCTCTAAATAGAGTCTCTGCTCTCCCCCCCAGCCAGGGCCAGCCCCTCAAACCATCACACCCTCATTTAGCAGGGACTGAGGGGTCTGGCTCTGCGGAGGATGGGTGCTGGGGAAGTTCCGTGGGGAGAAGGCTGGGGTTTGGGGGGGGGGAATCCAGGTCCCTGGCTGCCGTGCTCCGCTGTGCCACGGCCCCACGCAGCCTTGGGAAGGCTGGCAGGGGGGGAAGAGGG